AGTTGATCACCGAAGACATAACATAGCACAACTAAACTTAATGAATATGACAGCAGTAGACCTGCAATTTCTGTGTGATGTGAGGCAAAATGGAGTCTTTTTTTGGTGGAACTCGTTCTTGTGCATTATGCTGTGGAGACGAGACGCAGCACTGTTCAGTACTTTTTCAGAAAATTGCATTTGTATTTTTATATATCTAAGCAATGTTCTTTAATAAAAAAAGGTTTGTTTAATTAATACAGATCTTACAACCATACCTAATCTGTATATATTTTATTTTTCTGTTAAAAAGACTCGAAAAGACTCGAAAATCAAACTGCAGGACTTTGGACTTGACTTGAGACTTGTTGCCTTTGACTCGGGACTTGACTCGGGACTTGCCTGTCTTGACTCGGGACTTGACTCGGGACTTGAGGGCAATGAATTGAGACTTACTTGTGACTTGCCAAACAATGACTTGGTCCCACCTCTGGTCTAACTTGAAGGTAACGGAAAAAGTCTTGTTTATCTAAGTTATATATATTGGAAAGTTGTTGAAATTTTTTTTAACTCATTATCAGTAGTGTTGAGACAGAATGATGTTATGGCCTACAAACTCCATTGTTTAAATCTTAGATCTAGTTTTGCTGGTTTAAATTGAATATCATGTTCAACCCCTCTTAATATCTTAGCTTGTTTTTCACATTTAGGATTCTTTAATTCTTTGTACCAAATTTCTAAAGAGCTCTTTGTCAGGGAATTCAATTTATGCAATTCTGTATGTTAGAAGTTTCTATCTCCTAATAATTATTGGAGATAGTGGATTAGTAATTGTTTAAATTCTTTCCACTTTGCACAGTATTTGTCATTGCACCAACAAACTGTGTCTAAGCTGTGCTGCCTTACAATAAACATCTAATGATGTTTTCCGTTCCAAATGAAGCGAGACACTAGTTTTTTCCATTCATCAAATTGGCTTTTTGGTTTCTCCACTGGTAAAGCTTTAAAGAGAAAAAGTGGGCATGATAATATATTCATCTTTATTATCTCTATTCGATTATATAGATCTAAAGATAGAAAGGGCCATCTGTTCAAATGCTTTATTATAGTTTCTGTAATGGGAAAGTCATTTATTTGTATAGATATCTGATAGGTCTGCAGAGATTTGAACTCCCAAGATATCTGATAGAAGGTATGTTCCATTTAAATGCATAATCCTTGTGTATTTTATCATCTGGGTTATAGTTGCATTAAAGAGTTTGTGTTTTAAGTAAATTTAATCTATATCCTGAATGTAATCCAAATTTGTCAAGAGAATGCATCACCTTAGGTGAACTAAATTCTAGGTATGTAAGAAACAGAAACACATCATCAGCATATAAACAAATTTTATGTTCTACATCTTTAATTTTCACTCCCCTTATTTCTGCATAATCTCTGATTAGTTGTGCCAATGGTATAACAAATAATGCAAATAAGGAAGGACTTAATGGGCACCCTTGTCGACATCCTCTAATATAATATGTTCTGAAAATATCCACAGTTATTTTAATTCTAGCTGTAGGAGTTTAATATAAAGATTTAAAAAATGTTTAGTGTCATTCTCAAATCCAAATCGTTGCAGAACTAAATATAAAAAATCCCAACTCATCGAAAGCTTCTTCTGCGTCTAGGCTACTCAGAAGAGTGCTAATCTTGTTTTGAGCTATATAATCTAATACGTGAAGGGCTCGCCATATATTATCATATGTTTGTCTTTGTTTTATAAAACCTGTTTGATAAGTATCTATTAGGTCTGAAAGAATATCCTATAATCGTTTAGCTAATATAGATGCATAGGGCCCTATCATACTCCCGGCGTAATGTGGCACAAGACGCCAAGCAATTGCTATTTGCTACTTTCACCTCGGCGCAAGGGTCATTTTGAGGCATTGCGCCAAACTGTTTAAACAGGAAATGCATTTGCGCTCGTATGTGCGCCTATAGGCATTCTGGTCTAAAAAAGCAGGCGTGTTTTGGTGCGTTGCTATTTTGAGAAACTGTAAATAGTCTGTTCTTTAGATCAGAACAAAGTTGGTCTATTGTTTGGCGCAAAGTGTGCCTGGCTTACACACTACACACAAGATGCAGAGCAATACGCAAATATCATTACATATGAAAAAGATATTAAGGATATATATATATAGGATATAAATATAAATGATTAAATTATTACAAAACATATTAATTTCTAGCCTACATATATTTTAAAAACCACTGCCTTCAGCCTTTCTTCATCTCGAGAGGCTTTTTCAGTTCATTTAATTTGCTTTTGTATAATGTTATTATTATTAGCAGTATTATTTATTATATCCATATTTATATTTGTTTGATTAAAAACAAGCTTAGATTTGTCCACCTGTCAGGTTTTAGGTCGTATGGGGCACAGCAGGTGTATTTGGAAATAACTCAGTTTTTTGAACACACTTGATTATCAATGTTAATTTATTCGTTTGCTGGAAATTAGAACTGAATTTAGAAATAGTTTTAAAACAAATGTTTGCGCTTAACAAACAAAATGAATTATTTATAGGCTAATTGATGTCTGAGCGTAAAGGTTTCCCTATCCACGAGAGCAAAAGCGAAAGTGAACTTACTTAACGTCATGTAAATAGCAAATGCGCTCATGACGCGACGCAACTGGCTCTTAAAGGTAATGGGAGATGAGTCGCTGATTGGTTTATTCTCAAAACACACCTATAACTCATTAAGAAAATAAACTCAACCCTTTTAGACCATGCGCCATGGCGCAAAAACGGATTTTCCCATCCTTAAATTAGCAAGTATGGATTCCGACACGCCCTCAAATATTTTATTGAGTTCCACTTTAACTTCTTTGATATTATTAAAAATATCTGGATATTTACCATATTTAGTCTCTAAATCTTCAAGTTGTATATTTAGATTATTTATGCAATTCCATTTTTTTCTTGATCCCCACATTATAAGTTTACCATGCATAACAGCTTTAGCTGCGTCCCATCGATACTAGGTGACACCTCTGCATTATTATTATTATGTTTTAAATATTCTAATAGTTCTTTTTAAACATATTCTACACACGTTAAATCATTCAAATGATTGTTTAAATTGCCAAAATGTCTTACTTGGTTTATTGTCCAGGTACACTCTTAAACATACTCCTGCATGGTCTGAGATGTCCCTTGTTCCAATTTTAGTCTTTTATTTTATGTTGATCTGACCCAAACATAAAAAAACAAAAAAAAAAAAAACAATTCTAGAATGAGACATGTGGGCAGAAGAGAAGAAAGTATATTCTTTTTTTAAGAGGGTATATGTCTCTTCATACATCTATCGAGCCTAATTATTTCATCAAATATCTTATTTGTCTAGTTTCTTGACTAGAAGATGAGTCCAATTTAGGCTGAAGTTGTACATTCCAGTCTCCCTTACAGATCAACGTACCTGATGTCTCCTTGGCTATAACACTTAATATTTTTTTGAAAAATGCTTTGTCTTTTTCAGGTGGTCTATATATACTAACTAATGTAACTTTGTATTGGTCGATAGTTTCTTTAATTAGGTTATATCGCCTTTCTTTATCAGTAATCTTAGAAATTAATTGGAAGTTGATTTTATTTGAGATCAATGTCATTACTCCTCGTTTACGACCAATATTATTTGAGGAAAAAAAAAAACTAAATCCCATTGTTTCTGATTTCCTATGTTCTGTACCAGAAAGATGCGTCTCTTGCCAGAAGATTATCTGTTGGTTTTCTCTTTTAATTTTAGCCACAGGTTTGCTTCTTTTAATCGGATTTAGTAACCCATTAATATTCAAAGTAATTACTCTATATTTCTGTTTTTGCATAATCAGATGTTTTTGCGAAGATCACTGTGATCGGAACATGAAAAACACAAACATGAATATCTTGAACCACATAAAAAAACATTACGAAAAAGATCTCCAAACCTTGAAGTCTTAAATAACTTCTTAATGTGAGGGGAAAGCCTTCCTTCTTTAAAAAGCCCTTTCTTGCTGTGCCTATTGTTATTTAAATATGGTTTAGGTTATCATATATGACGTAAAAAGGAAGATTAATACCAGTGTGTATAGGAGCTCTCTTTCTCAGCTTCTTAAGCTGCCCCGAATGAGTGAAACTCTAGGTTTGGGTATCGTTTGGTTTTTCGATACCAGTGCTAAATTGATACTTTTAAAACGATACCGGTGCCAAAACGGTGCCTGAATCAACACTTTTTAGCCACAAAATGATGGTGGACGACTCTTCAAAAATATTTTATTTGACAAATGATTTTTTTCAAAATAATTTTAATAGAACAATATAATTACAGTTTAAAGTAAACATCAATTCATATTGTATTACATTAATACATTTCATTTGATCATTTGTTGGTTAGCATGAATTTAAGATTTGCATTATGAAATTACATTAGCTTACTATTTACCTGTGGGGGGCGGGCAGGGGCCACATACTTTTAGGAGCACATTTTAACATGTATATCACAAAATACTTAAAACATTATTGGAAGTCATTTGTTTTCATCCATCACTCTGCAGTCTTCATAAACAAGATAATTAAATAACTTAAACTCAAAATAATCTTCCTTGTTCATTTATTTGACAAGTAACATTGTACTGGTGTAGGAGAACACATTTCTAACATTCAAGTACATCAAGGCACATTGCTGCACCTGTAAACTTTAACAGGCCTACAGTTGAAGTCGATTCATTTTGCCCTCCCATTCATTTAAAATAATGTTTTTGAAAACTTTTAGTGTTTCCTAAAACATAAATATTCTGGAGTCATAATAAGTCCTATTTCTTATTGTTTATTTCATGAATAAAAGCCGTTTGTAATAAAAATAAATAAATAAAAATAAGGTCAGTATTATTAGCCTCCTTAAGAAATATTTACTATATATTTTTGATTTACACAACAAATCAGTTACAAAATAATTTGACTAATTATTTTAACTTTCGTAGTGAACTGATAAGTCTAAATTACACTTTAATCTAAATAAAAGACTATAAAATACTTAAAAAGACTTTGTCTGAATACTGTCTTGCAAAATAACTAGTAAAATGTTCTGCACTGACTGTCAGCATAAAAAAGTAGCGTTAGATATTAGAAACGAGTCAGTTAAACTATTGTGTTTAAAAATGTGTTGTAAATAAATCATGTGTTCAAGACAGAAATCAAAAATGAATGAAGTCAAAACTAAACGAGTTGAATATTAAATGTTTAGTGATGCTGTGACAACACCTATATGTGCCTTTTTTCATGCAACCCTCACGTCCATGCCGCAGCACCGAAATTCATACGCTGATTTAATACCGGTGCATACCGGTTACCATGGTACCGGTGCTATAATGGCACCGGGTTTCGGTAACAAACCCTAGAACACACTGATCATGTCTACAGTTTATCTCCAGCGTGAATCCTCTCATGTGTTTTCAGGGTTTCTGAGCGAGTAAACCTCTTACTGCAATGTGAACACTTGTACGGTTTATCTCCAGTGTGAATCCTCTGGTGCCGTTTCAAATCTGCAGCTGTAATAAAAGTCTTCTCACACTCCAAGCACATATACTCTCTCACACCAGTGTGGATTTTCATGTGTTGTTTAAGGTGTGATGATGTGCTGAAACTCTTCCCACATTGAGAGCATGTGAATGGTTTCTCTCCAGTGTGGATCCTCATGTGTAGATTAAGATTTGATGAGTGGATGAAACTCTTCCCACACTGAGGGCATGTGAATGGTTTCTCTCCAGTGTGGATCATCATGTGTTGATTAAGGGATGATGAGTGGCTGAAACTCTTCCCACACTGAGTGCAAGTGAATGGTTTTTCTCCGGTATGGATCCTCATATGTCTATAAAGCGACGAAGATTTGCTGAAACTCTTCCCACACTGAGTGCATGTGAATGGTTTTTCTCCAGTGTGGATCATCATGTGCTTTTTAAGGTGTGATGAGCAGTTAAAACTCTTCCCACACTGAGCGCATGTGAATGGTTTCTCTCCAGTGTGGATCCTCATGTGTTTTTTGAGGTATGATGAATCGTAGAAACTCTTCCCACACTGAGTGCATGTGAATGGTTTTTCTCCGGTGTGGATCTTCATGTGTTTATAAAGCGACGATGATTTGCTAAAACTCTTCCCACACTGAGGGCATGTTAATGGTTTCTCTCCAGTGTGGATCCTCATGTGTAGATTAAGGAATGATGAGTGGTTGAAACTCTTCCCACAATGAGTGCAAGTCAATGGTATTTCTCCAGTGTGGATCTTCATGTGTCTATAAAGCGACGATGATTTGCTAAAACTCTTCCCACACTGAGTGCATGTGAATGGTTTCTCTCCAGTGTGGATCCTCATGTGAGTCTTTAATTTGCTTTTGCTTGCCAAACTCTTTCCACACTGAGTGCAGGTAAAACAACTCTTGTCTCTCACTTTTAACACACCATCAGTCTCTAAATGAGTTTTGTCCTCAATTTTGACATGATGTTCCTCCTCTTTACTCTCCTCGTAGTCTTTAATTAGGTCTGAAATAGAAATAAGTTTACTTTTTAGTAAATCATAAAACTCAGTGAAAAGGAAGTGAAAACATTGGCTACACAAATCTTAATTTTGATGCACATTAAATGTAAAGACAAAGCAGATCATATTTAGATTGATCTTGTCATATTAACCTCCTGTCCATTACACAGATACACATTTAAGCAGATTCTTATATGATTATTCCCAGATTAATTTTTGTCATATTGATGAGACATAAATTTGAAAGCTGTAAATGGCCAGTTTCTATCTGTATATATTCATAATCACAACAAAACAATTTGTTTTTGTAAAACTTGTAAAGCCAATAGGGAATGCTTTTTCATTCTGTGCCTGACTGGTAAACCTGTTAAAAAAACAGCTGAATCTCTGCTAATATTTGCCTCATAGACATATATGACACATGTATAATATCTGCATAAAGCTTTAAATCTGCACCTTTAAATGACAAATGTTCTAGAGGTATGTAATCTGTAACAAATGCAAAGCAGAAATCTAACACTTAACTGTTTCAGATCATCAAACAAATGTAAATATTAGTCAAAGATAACACAATTAAACACATTGTGCAGTTTTTAAATCAAGGTTTTTATTCTTAAATTGAAGACAAAATACTGAACTACACTGACTTGTGTGAAAAAAGAAATTCCCATTAGAACAATTTTAATTTATCACACCTGCTTCAAGTTCTCTAGCCACACCCAGACCTGATTACTACCACACACGTTCGCAATCAAGAAATCACCAAAATAGGACCTGTCTGACAAAGTGAAGTAGACCAAAAAAAGCCTCAAAGCTAGATATCATGCCAAAATCTAAAGACCTTTAAACACAAATGAGAAAGAAAATACGTGTGTCACGAGTTAAAAAAAAAGAGTGAGCTCAAATGCAAGTCTTTATTGAGAAGCGAGTCTTGGAAAAACCAAAAGTCAAAGTAAACACCAGGTCGGGTGAGCGCTGAGGAAGTGCCGTAGGAAAAAACAACCAGACACTCACTCACTGGTGGTCTTGGAAACATACAGGGTGAGTAACAAAATAATATGCACACAAATGATCGATAACATACTGACAAACGTGAAGGGGAATGATGTGGTATAAACAGGAAAAAAAGGGAAACGAGAGCTCCTGTGACTGCATATAAAAGCAGATGACAAGAGATAATCTGTAATACAGATCAAAGCCCCTTTCACACAGTGATACCGGTAAATATGCGGAAAATTTCCGGAACGACTTTACCGGTATATTCAAAAAAGCGCTGTTCACACAGGCGAGGACGTTACGGAAATTTTCCAGAAAAGACCTTTCAAAAATCCATTCCAAAATACCGGTAAATTCTGACATCATTTACCACAAATGAGCCTTAAACGGCTGCGCTTGTATTTGTAAACATTTTACTACATTACAAACTCTGTGGATGATCAATATTGTAAACAATACAGTATTGTGAACAATTCTTCGAACAACTTCGAAGAAAACATATGGAGGATCACTTTGGCATGTCGAGATGTTCATAATATGTGCGTGTGCTGGCTCTCACAGGCTGTTTCACAGGCACACGCTAAGCGTGAAGGTAAACAAACAGCGGCTTATCATAAGCATCTCATCGATGATTATTTACACAGTTGGCATTAAGAAGAACATATAAACATTATCTGACTAACTTCTAACTAAATGCGTCTGACTGTTCTGATTGGCTAAAGCAGGTGTCTCACGTCAGCACGTTCTAGACGTGCACGCGTTCTTTCCGGCAATCTTCCTTCTGCATTCACACAGCGCAGCATTCCGGCAAATTACCGGGAATGTTACAACTTCTCTTTCTGAAAAATAGCCAGAACGAATTTACCGGTATTTTCAAAAAGGACCTGTTCACACATACAACCTTTCCAGAAAATTGCCGGTAATTTTCCGGAAAGGTCTGCATGTGTGAAAGGGGCTCAAGAGAAGAGAGCCAAAGAGTAAGGTATCAAAGGAGGATGTCACATCAAAGATTCAAGAGTTACCACTCAGTGGGTTATGTCACAAGACTCGCGTCACTTTATTGTGGCTTTGAGGCTCAATGGGATTCTAATTACTGGCCAAAGTTATATAAAATTACACTTTATTACAATATATATGTTGAATATAAATAATTATAATATGCATTATATAATATTAAATTAAATTACATGGGGGCCATGGGGGGTGGTTCGTTCGAACAACCCGAAACCCCCTGGCTACGGGCATGGCACAGTGATCTGTGTCATTACAAGGGCTTTTCCCACAGCTGGTGGAGAACACGAGAGTTCGGTTTGTGTTCAGTGTAGTGCATACATTTTCATTGTTTTCACTGTAAAATCCTCACTGTGTGCGCAGATTAAAGAGACATTTATGCAGAATGCATCTTTGCACCTAAAAACGTCAAACGCAGCACCAAGAACAGATTAAAACAGTTGTTATGTGAACTTGATGTAAAAAAGCCTGCAATGCTTGCACCGCCTTTGTGCTCTACTTATTGGCTCACTGCTCTACAACTGAATGCAAATGATTGGTTAATATCAGCTGTCAATCACTCAGTCAATGCCTTCTGCTTTCAGATGATACAACTGCGAAAATGTGAAGCGCTGAAGATGAGAGAATAAAAATAACATACAGATTTACCTAAAGATAATAATAATGGCGCATCTTATTAGTGATCATGTGCTGAGTGTTAATCCACCATTTACACTTTTCCAAGAGTGGATAAAAGACTTCTAGTGGCTTCAAGTCCGCAGGTAACAGTGTTTGGCGCTGAATCTACACATTTAAGCGCGAGAGGTATTGTATAATCCTTCATTTAATCCTCACGATGCTGTCAGCCATGCAAGCAGCAGCTATATGTAACATTTAACACAGCTCATGAAAAGACTGTTATTGCTATTACGATGACATGCAAATAATAAGTTATATATCAATATAAATGTGGGGCGGGGCGATGGATCGTGATGCCGGCTCAGCATCGTGAAGTTTGTCGGCCATCAGCGATGGACAATGTCATGTAAAAAAAATAATACAATTGATCAGCTACAATCAACATCATCTTCCGAAGAGCTTCATAAGAAAATACTTATTCTGCAAGCGGAATGACTCCTTGAGGATCTCCACATAAGATCACGCCAGATTCATTATGAACATGGTGAACGAGCTGGCAGGTTATTGTGTTACTAACTGAAAAAATCCTCAGCAGCTGGTGTTATAGCAGCAGTTAGTAAGGATGATGGCAGTATTATTACTGACAAACAGGGTATTAGTGATCAATTTAAAAAACTTCTATAAAACTCTTTACAACTCTGAGGTAAACTAAATTGAATGTATTGAGAGCTTTTTTAATTATTAAGAATTACCATACCTCTGTGATTCAGATCAGTTGACAAAAGAAGGAATTTTAACGTTTGTCCTTTTCTTTCTGAATGTGTCACAGAATGTGTCCCGCGTTTGTCAGCTTCTCACAGGACCGGGTTTCCAAAGCTTGTCAATAATCAATCGCATGTTATTATTATCAGCTCAAGAAGTTTGTTATTTCAAATAGAGACGCGCGGCGAGCACAAGGAAGAAAGCGAAACCACTCGGGCTTCAGACCGGCTCGTAAAAAACTACGCGGCACAGGGTAAATCTGCTCTTCTCCATGGCTTTGTGGCTGTTTATCAAGACGACGACAGGGTTTGTTTGAGCCCGGATCGACCATGGCTGCATATGTATATAATTCCGCTGTAATCTCTCGCTGTGTATTTCAAACATGGCGGGTCCTTTTTTAAGATTCTGGCTTGTGTCTACGAATGATGTATCTCTGTAAACCAATAGCGTTCAGCTGCACGTCTAGCTCTGCCATTTAGGGCCTACTCACACTATGCCATCCGTACCATGCCCAGGCCCGTTTCCCGGATTTCCCGGATTTTCCCGGTTTGAGAAGTGTGAGTGCGGTGAATCGGGCTCAAGCACGGTTCACTTGGCCGGCCCTGGCCCGGTTGGAAGAGGTGTGCCCTAGCGCGGGTCACTTGGGCTTTGGCACGGTACGCTTGTGTGTGAGTGCAAAACGCGCCAAAGCCCGAAACTGAAAGCGAGACGTGACTTTTAAGGGGCTGTTACATATGGATTTATTAATCATTCTTACTGTTCAGTGAACGCAAACTGCCGTAGTTTATTACAGACGAGAACTCCTCGAAGCACGACAGCTGCGTGGCTTCAGCAGACCTCCTCATTCCTGCAGCACGAGAGCTTTATGATTGTTTATGAGCGCCAAAAGTGGCGAATCTGTTTGGCGAAATATCTGACTGCGTGTCACAGCATCCCTAAGGACTGTTTGGCGAAATATTCGACTGCATGTCACAGCATAACTAACGACTGAAACGATATAACTAGAGAAATCTCCACTGTGCTGTTGAGTGAGAGAGCGCTTCTCACTGAACAGCGCAGCAGCGATGACGTAAGTGTGCCGAGGCCTGTTTGTGGTGTGAGTGCGGGCCGTCGGGGGAGACGGGAGGGGGACAAGCGCTTTGGCCCGGTTCGAGGCAGCTGTATCTAGTGTGAGTACGGCCTTAGTGTTTGGGACCTTTTCGAAAGGGTGCCAAAAAAGTGGTATGGTACGGTTTGGTTCGGTACGCCTTTTGACAGTGGAAATGGCCATAAAAGCGTACCAAACCGAACCACTCAGTGGAAACGGGACATAAAAGCTTGATTAGCTAGTCCAGGTGTGTCTGATTGGGGTTGGAACTAAACTTTGCAGAACACTGGCCCTCCAGGACCAAGTTTGCACATGCCTGCTCTAGAGGAACGAGACAGGGCTGCCCTCTGTCCCCTCTGCTCTTTGACGTTGTCATCAAACCTCCTGTAACCAATTTAAGGAACTCAGATGGCTTGCAAGGAATT